TATATATATATATATATATATATATATATATATATATATATATATATTTATCTAAATATTATTATTACAGTAAAGAAGATATAAAATGGATCCTGAATTAAATCCAACAACAGCTAACAACTCACTGATGTATCAAGCCATTGTAGATGACAAATTGGAAGATCTTAAATTGTTATTAGAAAATGGAATTAATGTAAATGAGCCGATAATAACAACTGGAAAATTTGCTGGATTTACAGCATTGCATGTTGCATGCATGAAAAATAAAGATGACTTGGTAGAGTTGTTAGTTAATGATTATAAAGCAGATGTAAATGCAATGGCTGCTGACGGGACTGAACCCATTCATTTGGCTTGTTTTTATGTACCACTAGACGGACAAAGCAATATGAGGTTCATAATAAGAACAGGCATTAAAACAATAAAAATATTGGTGGAAGCTAATGCAAATGTTAATGCTAAATTCGGACAAGAAATTTTTTTTAAGCACGTCAAAAACAGAGAATGGTGTCCCGATTTTGGAGACAAAATGCCACTAGCTCCATATGCTGTTATTTATAATAAACCATTAATAATTGGTCTACTAAAAAAAGTCAACGTAGACATTATAAGCCTTAAAAATAAAACATTGCTGATGTACGCTGTTGAATACGCTGATGACTATACATTATGCATTTTAGACATTATATCACATGTTAAAGATCCTGGATTGATGGATAAGTTGATGAACCACCGCGATGATGATGATGTATCACTAATTCATTATCCATTCCATCCTAAAAAATATGGAAGATTTCGATATCTTGGAAGTCGCATGAGTAGTGATGATGTCCGTATCTCCTCACGTTTTATTATTGAGCTACCAAATTGGGGAGCTGATATGTACGCACTGATAAAAAATGACTCAGCAACATTTTTGCCCAATCTATTAGCTTATAGAAGTGATCTGCTACTGATGTATGCTTTGCCTTATTATACTTCTATGTCCTTATCTAGAGTTTTATACTACGCCACGGTTCCTATAGATAAAAATTCTCAGCATTTAATAAATACCAATTCAGAGAGTGAGCGACTTGATCATCTAAAACGAATTAGAAGAAATCAAAAACTATGTATAGCTATTATTTTAAAAGATCTGGTCTTTAGGAGTGTATTCAGATCACCTGTTCCAGAACAACAAGTTAAATTGAAGGATGAATTAATTGCCAAGGATGAATTTTTCAGGAAGATTGTTAATGTCTTCAAACTAGATTTCATTGAAAAAGAATTTCAAGAACGTTTTATTGAATTTGGCGAAAATAAAATGACAATGTGTGATTTTTTATTGCAAGTTTTTGATGATAAAAAATTGAAATTTTTGGCGCGAGAGGAGAATTTATCCGATGCTCTGGATAAAGTTGTAGAGCAAACTGATATTAATTTGAGATTTTCGTTCTATGCGATCTATCAAGATCCAATCAAAATCAGAATAAAAGATGCTAAGGAAAGATTAAGACTTCTCGAAAATTTGAAGAAAATTTCAGCACTTAGAAAAGCTATACCGTTACCCTTTGAACTGGTATTAGATATTGTTGAGTATTTAAACAATTATCAGTTTAACGCATTTATAAGAGCATTTTATAGTTAGTAATTATACATCGAAACCAGTTTTAGTTTTAAAAAGAAAATTTAATTTTTAATTATCAGTTTAGATGAAAAATTTTTAGGTTTCACTAATTTTCTAATTATTAAATATTATAGTAAAAAAAAGTATTATAAAAAACCATTAAATAGTTAATTAACCATAACTGTGATAATTGTGATAATGGAAAGAAGAAGAAATATAATACTTGTATTGAAAAATAAAAATTTTATTTATTTTATTTCTCTAATCCATAAAAAATAAAAGTTTTCCCTTAGCACTTAGTTAAAAAAATTATAAAATAATATATTCAGTGTATTAAAATAAATTTTTTCTTTAGGTATACTAAAATAATTTTTTTTTTTTTCAGTGTTAAAATTAAAAAGCAGATTATCAAGGTTCGAAAGAAGAAACAAACTTTAATTCACTAATAAATATCTGGATAGAAAAATTTATAATATTTCTTCTTAAGATGATACAAATATAAATTTAAGGTAATTAATTATTTAGCAATAAAAAATAAAATGAAATACTATTTTCAATGAGAATATATTATTTTTCAATAGACTGGACCAGTAACACAGTGAATAAAAATGCACTGAAAGTATTACATGGAAGAAAATAATAATAAGAACAAGTATGTTCGAATCTTTTAGCTTCGGCGCTTTTCATGCTCACTAATTTTACGACGTTCCACGTAGGAACGCTGAGAGTTCTCGGCAGTTTCCCCCGAGCCTGCAATCTCGCCGTGAATACTCTTCACTTAGCTTGTATTGTAACTTGTACCTAAAGACGGCATCAAGGCTGCGGAATTTCTCTCACACAGGGAACGAACGTAAAACTTCTTAAACTCGATAAATATATTACACACACGATAAACAAATTTTTAGTTACTCAAATTAGAAAATAATGGATTATAAAATTACGAGCCCGAGTACGCCCGATAAATATTTACCGTAATTTTTTCAACGAGTCAATAAATTCACCAGCCGTTCAATCAATTATTTATAGCAAGACTCGGTCGGGAGTTTGGGGTGCTCTTTTATCACAATCTTCGGGCCGTAAGAAAAAATTATCGAGATTTTTTTTAAATCTTCCAATAATTAATTGCTCAGAAATGTATTAATTTTATTTCTTCTTTTTAAATCTTTGTTTTTTAACCACAGAAGGATTTGTTATCAATTATTGAAGCTTTATAAATGATTTTTTAACGCTAGGTGATTTAATAAATATTTATTTATAAATATTTTTTATCTGTTAATAAATATATTTTTTATTTACTATTTCTTCCTTCAGACCTTAATTATCTGTTTTTTTTTAACTTCAATCTTCTTAATAAATATTTGCTAAATTTTAATAAATATTTCTTAACTATTAAAAAATATACTTTTCTTCCAAAAAAATATTTATTAATAGTTAAAAAGTATTTAGTTATATTTCATAAATCACCAAATTATTAAAAAATTAATGAATTTATTAGCAGTTAATAAATTATATCGCTTCAATAATTATACTTAAAACTAGAATCGATTTTCCTAAAATTTCCTATTACAACTCTGAATCCCTATCAATAACCAACAATCTCTCAACTCTTGAGCGCCTCTTGATCTTTACTCCAAGTTCGCCCATACCCTTGAACATATATAGATACGCAATATTAATTACAATTATTTCCCGGCACTCGAGCGAGATTTAAATTATAGATATCCAGTATCGCGATACAACTCGACCCAGCTCCAGCTCCAGCTGGCACAGCGCACCATAACCGCGATCCCGATGATGAGAAGAAGAAGAAGAAGAAGAAGAAGAAAGCAAAAAAAGATAAATATGATTGCAGGGTCTCGGGTGATTTCGGGAATGAGCCGGGTCGTAGTTCACGTCCTCGAAATTCCAGGTAGTATTAAGCCTAAAAAAAAGTAAGATAAAATTCCAATCGAAAATTACTCGAGATCGGGATGTTGAACTTACACTGTCGGAAAAGCAGGACATTTGAATTCCTTTTTATCATTCTATCCCAAAGGGTGTCTTTATAACGGGCGTAAATCACGAGGTGGTGGATGCCGAGTGTGAGTAGGCGTTGCTGCTCCGAAGACTGAGTCATAAATTTGATACAGGTTCATTGTGAAAGTCACCAGCTCTGCGGCTTACATTACATATTACATGAGAGTAAACTTTTTTTTTTTGTATTTCTTCTTTCTCATATAATAATAACTAGCAACCGCAGTCACTATGTGACTGTCGAGATTTACAGATTATGAATAAGAAAATTTTGGCTTAATAATTTTTTGATAATTCTAATTGCTCTATACATAGTTTAGATACACAGAAAGATGTAGTCTCCATATTTTTTATTACACTAATATAGATGCGCGCGAGTTTGTAGATATCAAAAAATTATTAAGATAGTTTTCGTGGTTAAGACATACCGTCAGAAAATTCTTAATGTTTGTATGTTTATTACTTATTAAGAACATGATGATACAATCACCCTACAAATTTGAAGTCGATTGTCCACCTATAACCCAAAATGAATTTGATTAAAAATTGAATATTTAACAATCATTGCATACGCTCTCTGCAGTTCAATTAATTGCTGAAAAAATGGAAATTAAAAAGATTGTGGAATACATTAAGAAAGATTTTATTAATAAATGTTTGACTAAACATTTCAGTGACAGTATGACTTTGTATGATCTTGTGATTAAGGTTTTTAATAAAAAAAGTTTGAAATTGTTGGTAAAAGATGATCAATTTGTTAAAGACTACGATCGTTTCCCTATGAGCAAGATCCGGAGAAGGTATGATCAGTTCTTGCTTCTTCAAACAATGGATTTAAAAATTCTGACCGCTCATAAGCGAAGGAAGATTATGGACAAAGTTGAGAAAATTTCACAGCTCAAAAAAGTTATTCCTTCGCCTTATGAAGTTATTTTGATGATTATTGAGTATGTTAATAATCATGATTTAAAAAACTTTGTCAACTCTTTCTACGAATGGCCTATTTGCCAATAAATTATAATCATTTCATCTGAATATTTGTATTTTTGATAATGTTATTAATTTAAAGTCAAATTTAGGTATAAGTTCTTTTGTATTTTTTAGTACTTTAAATAAAAAATGACATCTACTTTGAAAAAAGCTAGTAATTTCACAAAATTATTGTGTTTTTTTTCCTTAAATCTCTATAACTTTTAGAAAACTTTTCATTACTATTTTTTTTAAGGAATTTAGCTACTACTTTTTTTCTAAAACCAATAAGAAGTCATTCTTAATACCGATAATTAAATATATTTAAAAATAATTTAGGGTGTCAATATTTAGACCCCTATCAATAATTGGGGCTTTTACCTTACTAGAATTTAATTTTCGCGCGCTTTGACTATAGAGTTTGCGTATATTTTCATGCATATGATACATTCGACCAATCACATCACGAATAGATTGGTTTCACATACATTTCATCTCAATTTTATTATGGGACTAGAATTTAATTTTCGCGCGCAAGCGCGCGCCTCATATTTATTATCATGGTATATTTATGTGTCGTTTATGTATAGTATATTCACTTTCAACCAATCAGAATGAGAATATTTATTTTCGACCAATCATAACACGAATAGATTGGTTTCACATACATTTCATCTCAATTTATTATGGGATTATTATGGGATAGGATATATCATGTAAGCAAACTATTCGTCGATTGGTCGAATATATCATAAACATGAGAATATATATAATTCCATACTAACATTCAGACGTGCACTTGCGTACGTAACATAAACTATTTTATAATTAAAAAGTTAGTTGATACGTGTATTGGATGATTCAGAGTTAAGCAATCAATTTATAACAATTAAAACAGCATTAAATATTTTAGTAAATTGATCAATTTTTTAGCTTCAATTTTCTTGGAGTCAGGTAAGATTATAATTTTTTTTTAATAATGAACAAGTGTTTTTATTTTTAATATATTTATTTCTAGGTTAGAAAAATTCTATGAAACCCTTTAATCGAGATTAAACTTAAGTAAACGAGACTATCATTGTTTTTACTTATAAATCTTCAATATATTAATTAAAAAATATTTTTTTAGAATACCATCATGCCAAAAATGCATACAAAATCTGTCAACATGATAAAAGCAGTGAAAAATGGGGATTGGAATGTAATTGACCAATTCGTAGCCAAAGGTGGAGATATCAATGCCAGTTTAAGGAAAACTGGACCCCAAGCGGGATACACTGCTTTACATTTCGCGATTTTAAGTGGAAATTATAGATTTGATATGGAACGATTGATAAAAACCTACGGAGTAGATGTAAATTGCGTAGGTGCTGATGGTGCTCAGCCAATTCATCTAGCTTGTTTACAACAAAACTATCGAATCATTCAAATTTTATTAGAATCTGGTGCTGATTCTAATGCTGAGTTAACTAAAGTACTCGTTGAGAAATACAAATCTTCGCAGGATTGGAAATGGTCTGATGAGTTTGGTAAGATGACGCTCTTTGTTTTTTTTAACATTAACTCAAATTACCAGATATTAAGACATTTAGTCCGAAACAAAGCCAACATTGAAATAACCGGGAAAAATAACAAAACATTGCTGATGTATGGTGCTCAAAGAGCATGGCCGAAACATTTAGAAGTGTTTACTGAAGAATATGGCAGTAAGTGCAAACCAGAATTTATCAATGCTAGGGACGATTATGGACGTCATGCTGTTCACTACTTACTGCCAAATGAAAAGTTTGGGGAATTTCGGTATTTGAAAAATACATACATATCCCCCATGGTATGGGAGTTGAGAAGAGCTGGAGCAGATATCAATGCAATGATCGATAATGATCCAGACACTCTCTTACTCAACAAAGTGGCCTATAGATGCGACTACAGGATGTTGGAGAAATTTTTGGAACTTAGATATCCTTTTCCTGCTGAAGGTAGACCTTTGCACTATTTTATGATTCCAGTTGATCCTGAAAAGTTTGTTGAAAACTCCAATGACAGAAGAGAGGTAGAAAAAATACGAAATAAGTGTCTTAAGTTAATCCTGGAGAATTATACCCTGAGACGTGAATTTGGATTTTTTGTTCCGGAAGAAGAAATAAAATTAATGGACCAACTAATTGCTAAAAAGGCGGAAGTTAAAAAGATTGTGGCAGACTTTCAGGAAGATTTTATTAATACTTATTTGTTTATACCTTTCAGTGGCAGTATGACTCTTTATGCTCTTGTGATTAAAGCTTTTAACAAGAGGAGTTTGAAATTGTTGATAAAAAATGATAAACTTGTTGAAGACTACGATGACTTCTTTTTAAGCAATATCCGTGATGAGTATAATGATAAGTTTTGGCTTTTTAATTCAATATTTTGTAAAGTTCGGCACGCTCATAAGCGAAGACAGATTATGGAGAAAGTTGAAAATATTTCACAGCTTAAAAAAGTTATTCCTCTGCCTTATGAAGTCATTTTCATGACTGTTGAGTACGTTGATGATGATAATTTAAAAAACTTTGTCAACTCTTTCTACAAATCTCCTGTTTGTAAATAAATCATGATCATTTCACTTAAATGTAAGGCCCTTAGGGAGCTAAAGCTTCAGGGTCTAAAAATTTTGATAAATAAATAACTAAATAAATATCTGTATTTTTAATAATGTTTTTAATTTTAAGTTAACTGTAGGTGTAAGTTCATTTGTATTTTTTAACACTTTAATGTTAGAAAATTTTTGAATTTTATTTTTGTCTAAAAAATTTAACTATAACTTTTTTTTTAAAACCAATACTTAAATCATGCAAGCAAACACTATTCGTAACGTGATTTGGTCAAATATGTATATCATAGAATTGAAAATACATAATGTCACACCAACGTTCAGACGCGCGCAACATATGCCAGTATAATAATAATGTTTTCATATAACATGCATTGAAAATGCGAGTTTCAATGCCTGTTGAGCCAACTGAAACTAGACAATTTCAGACCAATGCAACCGTGGCGGGCAGTAATCAATTATTTCTTCCCGGCGGACAGAAAATGACGAATTACTGCCCGCGACATGAAGTTGCAGCTTTATTTTCAATCCTATCAATTTTGTTTGTTTATTTTATACCTTTATAATTGTCATTATAACCATTAACTGTACTGACATATTATAATTCTGTTTTTAAGCATAAATAAGAATGACAAAAGAAAACTATTCAATTTACGAATAATGTTTGATAAAAAAATAAACTATTTCGCTATTCGTCTGAAACTATATCTAGTTCTGGTTGGCTCCAGACATTGAAACTATAGCATTTTTAATGCAACTTATATGAAAAATATAATGTGTGCCGCGGGATGAAACACGATTTCAAACCGAGTGACCAACTTCACTCTGGTCTGAAATCGTTTTGTTGCATTCGCGCGCCCCCTATTGAAATTCTCGAATGAATTTATCCTGTTCGATTTATATCGATATATTGATATGTTCACGTACCAGGAGATTGACCAATAGTAACTGAGGAGGGTTTATATTCTACCAATAAGGAATCAGGTCTCATTTTTTCGACTATTGACTAACTTCAAACTGTCATGTATTTTTATTGTAGGGATAATAACAAAACATTGCTGATGTATGGTGCTCAAATAGCATCAACGAAATATTTAAATCTGTTTACTGAAGAAAAGGACAATAAGTGCAGATTGGAATTTCTCAATGCTAGAGACGATCATGGACGTCACGCTATGTGCGCAGTTCTATGATTGCGCAGTTGATCCCGAAAAGTTTGTTGAATACTCCAATGATAGAATAGAGGAAGAAGAAAAAAAAATAGTTGTCTTAAGTTAATCCTGGAGACTTATACCCTGAGACGTGAATTTGGATTCGTTGTTCCTGAAGAAGAAATAAAACTAATGGACCAACTAATTGCTAATGAGACGGAAATAAAAAAGATTGTGGAAGACATTCAGGAGAATATTATTAATATTTCTAAAATTATACCTTACAGTGATAGTATGACTGTTTATGATCTTGTGATTAAAGTTTTTAACAAGAGAAGTTTAAAATTGTTGGTAAAAAATGATAAACGTGTTCAAGATTACACTGACTTCTTTAGAAGCAATTTCGGGAATCGGTATGATCTCTTCTGGCTTTTTGATGCAATGTTTGATAAAATTCAGGACGCTTATAAGCGAAGTAAGATTATGGAGAAAGTTCAGAATATTCCACAGCTCAAGAAAGTTATTCCTCTGCCTTATAAAGTTATTTTAATGATTATTGAGTACTTTGATAATGACAATTTGAAAATCTTTGTCAACTCTTTTTGTGAATATCCTATTTGCAAATAAATTATTGTCATTTTATCTAAATGTTTGTATTTTTGATCATTTTATTAATTTAATGTCAATTTTTAGTATAAGGTAGTATATGTATTTTTTCACTCTACTTTAAATCAAAAATGACATCTACTTAAAAAACTATAGTAATTTCATAAAATTCTTATGTTTTTTGTCCTCAAAACTCTATAACTTTTAAAAAACATTTAATTACTATTTTTGTCTAAGAAATTCACTTACAAGTTTTTTTCTACAACCAATATTTATATCATGTAAGCACACTATTCGCAAGATGATTGGATGAATATATCATAAGCATCTCAAGCTGCAAAAAAAGTTTTTTTAGTAACGTTTAGTGTAATTTAAATTGACAATTATAAAATTCTAACTTGTTGAATAAAATTTTCCATAAAGTCAATATTTTTTTTATGACGTGTGGACATAAAAATATATATAATTTCATACCAACTCTCAGAGCCGCATCCTGTACTACTAATGTAATAAAATAGTTAGTTGATGACACATGCGTTGGCTTCAGAGTTGAGCAATTAATTTATAAAAAGTAAAACAGCCATTAATATTTCAATATATTGATAAATTTTGTCACGACAATTTTGTCGGAGTCAGGTAAGAATATAATAACATTTTTTTTATATTGAACAAATGTATTATTTTTTATTAAATTTATTTTTAGGTTAGAAAATAGCTTCTTAAACACTTTGATAAAGATAAAATTTTAATAAACAAGGCTATTATTGTTGTTAATTATCAATAAAAAAATATTGATTTAAAATACCACCATGCCAAAAATGCATGAAAAATCTTTCGACATAATAGAAGCTGTGGAAAAAGGGGATTGGAATGTAATTGACCAATTTGTAGCTGAAGGTGGGGATATCAATGCCAGCTTAAGGAAAACTGGACCTCAAGCGGGATACACTGCTCTACATTTTGCGATCATAAGTGGAAATTATAGATTTGATAGGGAAGTATTGGAGAAATGGATAAAAACCTACGGAGCAAATGTAAATTGCGTGGGTGCTGATGGTGCTCAGCCAATTCATCTAGCTTGTTTACTTGACGACTTTACAAACGCTGAAATTTTATTGAAATATGGCGCTGATGCTGATGCTGAGTTTTCTAAAGAACTCGTTGAAAAATATAAATCTTCAAAGGATTGGAAATGGTCTGATGAGTTCGGTAAGATGACACTCTTTGTCCTCGGTTTCATAAACAGTAGTTTCATGCTATTGGAATCTTTAGTTCGACATAAAGCCAATATTGAAATTACCGGGAAAAATAACAAGACACTGCTGATGTATGCTGTTGAAAGAGAATCACTAGAACATTTACATCTGTTTATTGAAGAATGGGACTATCAATGCAGACCAGAATATCTCAATGCAAGAGACGATTATGGGCGTCATGCTGTTCACTATTTGCTGCCAAATGAAAAATTTGGGGAATTCCGGTACACAAGAACAATTCTCATGTCTTCTCTTCCATGGGGGTTGATAGAAGATGGGGCAGATATCAATGCAATGATTGATAATGATCCGGACACTCTCTTACTCAACAAAGTGGCCTACAGATGCGAGTACAGGACGTTGGAGGACTTTTTGAAACTTATGTATCCTTATCCTGCTGAGGGTAGACCTTTATACTATTGTATGATTCCAGTTGATCCCGAACGAATTGTTGAAAACTCCAATTATAGAAAAGAGGTAGAAAAAAAAAGAAATATTTGTCTTAAGTTAATCCTAGAGACTTATACCCTGAGACGTGAATTTGGAATCTTTGTTCATGAAGAAGATATAAAATTAATGGATCAACTAATTGCTAAAGATACGGAAGTTAAAAAGATTGTGGAAGACATTCAGAAGGATATTATTAATACTTCTAAAACTGTATCTTACAGTGACAGTATGAGTCTTTATGATGTTGCAATTGAGGCTTTTAACAAGAGAAGTTTGAAATGGTTGGTAAAAAATGATGAATGTGTTCAAGTTTGCACTGACTTGATTAGAAGCAAATTTAAGAAACGGTCTGATCACTTCTGGCTTTTTGAGACAATGTATGGTAAAATACAGTACGCTTATAAGCGAAGGAAGATTATGGAGAAAGTTGAGAAAATTTCACAGCTCCGGCAATTTATTCCTTTTCCTTATGAACTTACTTTGATGATTATTGAGTACATTGATAATTACAATTTGAAAAACTTTGTCAACTCTTTTTATGAATGTCCTATTTGCGAATGAATTATTGTCATTTTATTTAAATGTTTGTATTTTTGATAATGTTATTAATTCAAAGTCAATTTTAAGTGTAATATAAGCTCTTTCGTATTTTTTAGTCCTTTTAATAAAAAATGATATCTACTTAAATTAGAAGAAATTAGTTTTATGTCATAAAATTATTGTGTTTTTTGTCCTTAAATCTCTATTACTTTTACTTAGCAAACTTTCGAATAATATTGTTTCTAAGGAATTTTGCTACAAATTTTTTTTTAACACTAATACTAATATCATGTAAGCAAACTATTCGTATAAGGTCGTTGGTTGAATATATCATAAGCATCTCAAGCTGCACAAAAATTTTTTCAGTGATGTTTTGTTCAATTTAAGATGACAATTATAAATTTCTCATTTGTTGTTGAATCAAATCTCCCAAAAAGTCAAAATTGTTTTTTATATAATTTCATACATACACTTAGACGCGCGCTTGCGCGCGCAACATATTCCAGTATAATAATAAAGTTTGTTGACATATGCGTTGAATTCAGAGTTTAGCAATTAGTTTATTACAGCTGAAACATCTATCAATATTTCATTAAATTGATTAATTTTTTGACAACAATTTCTTTGGAGTCAGGTAAGATTATAATTTTTTTTTAATAATGAACAAGTGTTTTTATTTTTAATATATTTATTTCTAGGTTAGAAAAATTCTATGAAACCCTTTAATCGAGATTCCCGAGAAAAAATATTTATATATAATTATATATATTTATATATAAATTGGTTATATATGATTATATATGAAAAATGGCCAAATATAATCATATCTTATTATATATAATAATGTATAACTATATATAACAATATTTAATTATATATTTATTACATTTAATTAATTATTGGGTTAATTTTATGGATAGAGTATTTAATATGGTCCTACGCAACTCTGTGTAACCAATCAAAATGCAAAAAAAATATCTAGATCTAATTTTATGGCTATAACACCAGCGGTCACCCATCCAACTCTATTAACCCTGCTCAATGCTGCTTAACTTTGGTGATCTCCGTGCGTCTTGAAGTTTCTTTCTGCTGTGCTGCTGTCTTAAACAATAATGATTCTATGATCTACTTAATGTATCATATATGAGTTTATCATAAATATTTAATATAAAAATTGATTTTATAATATATTTGGATAGTCATAATTCATAATTTATTTATTTTACCGAATTTCATTATAATATAACACTTATTTAAATAATAAAATAAATAATGATTTTACTATTAGGTAGTAGCAGAGCAGACAAAACATCTTATAGGAAATAAGACAAATTTTGTATTTCAGAATTATTTAAACGTAATTATAAACATCATTTTACACTTTTTGTGATTATCAAAAAAAAAGTTTTTTTCAAATTAAAAATTTTTATGTGTTAAAAATTTTTTATGTATGTTAATTATATATAAGCATATATAATCATATATAATTATATATGGGACTATATACAATCTTGCATGACTGTACATTGCTCCATATATAGTCATATATAATTATATATGACCTCATATACAATTCCATATATAATCATGTATGATTATATATAACTATATATAATTATATATAATCTTGCTTGGCTGTATATTGCTCTATATATAGTCATATATGATTATATATAACCTCATATACAATTTCATATATAATCATGTATGATTGTATATAATTTTATATACTTATATATAATTGTATATGGAACTATGTATAATCCTGCATGGTTGTATATTGCTCCATATATAATTATATATGATTATATATAACCTCATATACATTTCCATATATAATCATGTATGCTTATATATAGTTATATATGATTATATATAATTCTATATAATTATATATGTGATTCCATATATAATCATATATGATTATATACAATTATATATAATTATATACAAACATTTTTTCTCGGGTTAAACTTAAATAAACGAGACTATCATTGTTTTTACTTATAGATCTTCAATATATTAATTAAAAAATATTTTTTTAGAATACCACCATGCCAAAAATGCATACAAAATCTGTCAACATGATAAAAGCAGTGAAAATGGGGGTTGGAATGTAATTGACCAATTTGTAGCCAAAGGTGGAGATATCAATGCCAGTTTAAGGAAAACTGGACCCCAAGCGGGATACACTGCTTTACATTTCGCGATTTTAAGTGGAAATTATAGATTTGATAAGGAACGATTGATAAAAACCTACGGAGTAGATGTAAATTGCGTGAATTGATGGTGAATTGATGGAAATTGCGTAAATTGATGGTGCTCAGCCAATTCATCTAGCTTATTTACAACAAAACTATCCAATCATTCAAAGTTTATTAGAATCTGGTGCTGATTCTAATGCTGAGTTAACTAAAGAACTCGTTGAGAAATACAAATCTTCGCAGGATTGGAAATGGTCTGATGAGTTTGGTAAGATGACGTTTTGCTGGGATACTTTCCCAGAAGCCCGGATAGCTAACTAAAAAAATAAACTATTTCGCTATTCGTCTGAAACTATATCTAGTTCTGGTTGGCTCCAGACATTGAAACTATAGCATTTTTAATGCAACTTATATGAAAAATATAATGTGTGCCGCGGGATGAAACACGATTTCAAACCGAGTGACCAACTTCACTCTGGTCTGAAATCGTTTTGTTTCATCCGTAGTCACACAATATACTATTGTCGACACATACGTTGGTTTGAGAGTCTAGCAATTAACTTAGTACAACTAAAACGGCTATTAATATTTTATTAAATTGATAAATTTTGTAACTACAATTTCTTTGGAGTCAGGTAAGATTATAATTTTATTTTTTTATAATGAAAAAGTGTATTAATTTTTATTAAATTTATTTTTAGGTTAGAAAAAGATTCTTTAACACTTTGATAAAGATAAAATTTAAATAAACAAGGCTATTATTGTTGTTAATTATCAATAAAAAAATATTGATTTAAAATACCACCATGCCAAAAATGCATGAAAAATCTTTCGACATAATAGAAGCTGTGGAAAAAGGGGATTGGAATGTAATTGACCAATTTGTAGCCGAAGGTGGAGATATCAATGCCAGCTTAATGAAAACTGGACCTCAAGCGGGATACACTGCTTTACATTTTGCAACCTTAAATGAAATTTATAGACTTGATAGGGAAATTTCAGAAAAATGGATAAAAACCTACCGGGCAAATGTAAATTGTGTGGGTGCTGATGGTGCTCAGCCAATCCATCTAGCTTGTTTAAAACGAAATTTTGCAACCACTGGAATCTTATTGGATTATGGCGCTGATGCTAATGCTGAGTTTACTAAAGAACTCGTTGAAAAATACCAATCTTTTGGGGATTGGAAATGGTCTGATGAGTTTGGTAAGATGACGCTCGTTGTTTTCTTTACCATTAACCCATATATCGAAATGTTGAGTATATTATATCAATACAAAGTCAACGTTGAAATTATCGGTAAAAATAACAAGACACTGCTGATGTATGGTGCTGAACTAGCATCAAAAGTCCATTTAAGTCTGTTTACTAGAGATAATGCCAAGTGCAAACCGGAATTTATCAATGCTAGAGACGATTATGGACGTCATGCAGTTCACTACTTACTGCCAAATGAAGAGTTTGGGGAATTCCGGTACTCAAAACCAACTACCATTATCTACCTTCTGTGGGAGTTGAGACAAGCTGAAGCAGATATCAATGCAATGATTGATAATGATCCAGAAACTCTTTTACTCAACAAAGTTGCCTACAGATGCGACTACTGTACGTTAAAGGACTTGTTAGAACTGAAATATCCTATTCCTGCTAAAGGTAGACCTTTGCACTATTTTATGATTCCAGTTGATCCTGAAAAGTTTGTTGAAGACTCCAATTACAGAAATGAGGTAGAACATGAAAGAAATAAGTGTCTTAAGTTAATCCTGGAGAATTATACCCTGAGACGTGAATTTGGAGTCTTTGTTCCGGAAGAAGAAATAAAATTAATGGACCAATTAATTCCTAAAAAAATCGAAATTAAAAAGATTGTGGAAGACATTAAGAAAGATTTTATTAATAAATGTTTGACTGAACATTTCAGTGACAGTTTGACTTTGTATGATCTTGCGATTAAGGTTTTTGACAAAAAAAGTTTGAAATTGTTGGTAAAAGATGATCAATTTGTTAAAAACTACGATAACTTCTTCGATATCAGCAAGATCCGGAGAGAGTACGATCAGTTCTATCTTCTTCAAGCAATGGATTTGAAAATTCAGCACGCTCATAAGCGAAAGAAGATTATGGATGAAGTTGAGAAAATTTCACAGCTCAAAAAAGTTATTCCTTTGCCTTATGAAGTTATTTTGATAATTATTGAGTATGTTGATAATTATGATTTAAAAAACTTTGTCAACTCTTTCTACGAATCTCCCGTTTGCGAATAAATTATATATAATCATTTCATCTGAATATTTGTATTTTTGATAATTTTATTAATTTAAAGTCAAATTTAGGCATCAGTTCTTTTCTATTTTTTAGTACTTTAAATAAAAAATTATATCTACTTAGAAAAAAGCTAGTAATTTTATAAAATTATTGTGTTTTTTTCCTTAAATCTCGATAACTTTTAGAAAACTTTTCATTACTATTTTTTTTAAGGAATTTAGCTACTACTTTTTTTCTAAAACCTAGAAGAAGTCATTCTTATTACAGATAATTAAATATATTTAAAAATAATTTAGAGTGTCAATATTTAGATCCCTATCAATAATTAAGGCTTTTACATTATATCATGTAAGCAAACTATTCGTAACGTGATTTGGTCAAATATGTATATCATCATCATAATAATAATAATAATAATAATAATAATAATAATGTTTGTTGACACATACGTTGATTTCAGAGTTTAGCAATTAATTTAGTACAACTAAAACGGCTATTAATATTTTATTAAATTGATAAATTTTGTGACTACAATTTCTTTGGAGTCAGGTAAAATTATAATTTTATTTTTTTTATAATGAACAAGTGTTTTTATTTTTAATAAATTTATTTCAAGGTTAGAAAAAGTTTTTGGAACATGTAGGTCAATACTAATCTTGAATAAACGAAGATATTACTGTTTTTAATTAGTAATCTCTAATTTATTAATTAAAAAATATTGTTTTAATATACCACAATGTCAGAAATGCTTAAAAAATTTGATGAAACGATAGAAGCACTGAAAAAAAAGGATTGGAATGTAATTGACCAATTTGTAGCTGAAGGTGAAGATATCAATGCCAGCTTAAGGGAAACTGGACCTTTAGCTGGGTACACTGCTCTACAGTTCGGAATCTTATATGAAAATTATATATTCAATATGAAAATATTGGTGAAATGGATAAAAACCTACGGAGCAAATGTAAATTGTGTGGGTATTAATGGTGCTCAGCCAATTTACCTAGCTTGTTTACAAGAAAACTTTGCAATGGCTGAAATTTTGTTGCAATTTGGTGCTGATGCTAATGCTGAGTTTACTAAAGAACTCGTTAAAAAATACCAATTTTCAAAGGATTGGAAATGGTCTGATGAGTTTGGTAAAATGACGCTCTTTGTTTTCTATACCATTAATAAAAATGACACGATATTGAGAACATTATTTCGATACAAAGCCAACGTTGAAATTATCGGGAAAAATAACAAGACACTGCTGATGTATAGTCTTCAAATAGCATCAATAATCCATTTCAATCTGTTTACTAGAGATAATACCAAGTGCAAACCGGAATTTATCAATGCTAGAGACGATTATGGACGTCATGCTGTTCACTATTTGCTGCCAAATGAAAAATTCGGGGAATTTCGGTACTTAAAACGAACTGACGTATCCTACTTTGTATAGGAGTTGAGAATAGCTGGAGCAGATATCAATGCTATGATTGATAATCATCCGGATACTCTCTTACTCAACAAAGTTGCCTACAGATGCGACTACGATACGTTGGAGGACTTGCTAAAACTGAGATATCCTATTCCTGCTGAAGGTAGACCTTTACACTACTTTATGATTCCAGTTGATCCTAAAACGTTTGTTAAAAACTCCAATCACAGAAGTAAGGTAGAAGATAAAAGAAATATGTGTCTTAAGTTAATCCTGGAGAATTATACCCTGAAACGTGAATTTGGAGTCTTTGTTCATGAAGAAGAAATAAAATTAATGGACCAACTAATTGCTAAAGAGACGAAAGTTAAAAAGATTGTAAAACACTTTAAGAAATATTTTATTAATTATTGTTTGACTGAACACTTCAGTGACAGTATGACTTTCTATGATCTTGTGATTAAGGTTTTTAACAAGAGAAGTTTGCAATTGTTGGTAAAAGATGATCAATTTCTTAAAGACTACGATCGCTCCTATGTCAGCAAGATCCGAAGATGGTATGATCAGTTCTTGCTTCATCAAGCAATGTATTTAAAAATTCTGAATGCTTATAAGCGAAGGGAGCTTATGGAGATAGTTGAGAATATTTCACAGCTCACGGTAGTTATTCCTCTGCCTTATGAAATTATTTTGATAAATATTGAGTATCTTGATAATGATAATTTTAAAAACTTTGTCAACTCTTTCTACAAATCTTCCGTTTGCAAATAAATTATAATAATAATATTGTAATAAATTATAATAATCATTTCATCTAAATATTTTTTTTTGATAATGTTTTTAATTTAAAGTCAATTTTATGTGTTAGTTCATTTGTATTTTTTAGTACTATTAATAAAAAATGACATCTACTCAAAAAACTAATAATTTCATAAAATTCTTGTGTTTTTTGTCCTTAAATCTCTATAACTTTTAGAAAACATTTGATTACCATTTTTGTCTAAGAAATTTAACTAAGGTAAAAGACCCCATTAGTGGCACATTTAACCCCTATTAGCGGCACATTTTCTTTCAATGAAAAAATGTTCTACTTGGAATAAAAATTAAAAAATTTTTTGATCTAAAGGTCTTAAAGATTACAAATAATATATTCATTATTGAAATTAATCATTTCATTAATTGAATAAGTACTAAAATCAAAGAAAGTGTCAGTAATGGGGTCTTCTACCCAACACCTTTTTTTTTTAAAATCAATAGTTAATTTAATAAACATTCCAATAAAACTTGACTTTTGAAAATAATAATTAAAACTTGAGATTAGTAACTTGGGGAGAAATAAAAAAGTTATGAAATTGTTTATCAAAACGATAAAGTAAATTCTCCGAAATAAATCTTTTATAAAAGTTTACCTGACAATAAAGTAGTAATATACTTTTTCGTTCTTATTTAATAATCTAGTTGTCATGAGTGTTGGTTCAAATTTGAACAATTAATTTTATTAAATTAATACAGTAATAAATATCAGAACAAAAACAGTTTTGCTGTAAAAAACTTCGCCAAGTCCACGTTCATAAAACTCAACTCAATACTATTTGCACTTTACAAAAAAAAAATAAGATCACAGAATCTATTATCAATAATTAATTTTTTACATAAAACCACATTTATATTTACAAAATAAAATAAATAAAAAAATTTTATTTATCGCGAAATTCTAATCTATTTACAACTACTTTGAAAATTTATCATAATAAATTAACAATTGCTGAAAAACATTTAAAACATTAAAAAGGCGCAAATTCAGATCAAGACCTTTCTAATGATACTAAATTTAATTAAAAAAAATTAATTTTATCATATAAATACCTCAAAGACAAAATTTTTCTTATTCTCTTAATATAAAAAATAATATTTCTTCTCTTTCTTCAGAAGAACTAATTTTGCTGATGCCGATCCTGACCTAGTAGATAAATAAAAGTAATTAGCATCCTTACATACTTAAGATCCTGAGCTCTTAAACTGGCTCGGCAGGATCCACCCCGAGATAATCGAGATTACTTGGACATATTAAGTCGTAAAGGAGGAGCTGGCTATCTTCTTTCCTTTCTAGGTTTAATATTCCCGTGCCACCAGGATCTCGAGATAAGCTCTTCCTCTTCGAAGTTTCCGCTGGTTAAACGTCCGAGTCACAGAGCCTAATAGCCGTTTTAAATATTTAATTCAGTGCCTCATATCAAGAATTATTTTATTAAAATATTCACTATTTATTCAAACGGTTAATTATTTCCAGTGTATTGCACCCAATGCCGTTTCTTTTCCTGCAGCTCGATAACAAATCGTCGGCAATAATTTTTATTTACTCCGGTACCGCGACCACCTTCATAATTCACGATTCCCGCATCGATATTAGGGAACCAGCATCTCCCAACTTGTATCTTGTACATACGCTTTTATTTATTCTCTTCTTGCCTTGTTTCTTTATAATTTTTTTTTTTTTTTTTTTTAGGTTAAACCAGCACTTAATGTGTGTCTGAAACACTTACATGTTGAACAATCCTTGGCATTTTAATCGCTCTCGATGTTCAATTGCTACGTGTGCCCATAATTCACCTTATACTGTATTTATGAATTATTATACCAACAAATAAAATCATACATTATTATTCCCTCGCTCTTGCTATTGCTCTTGCTCTTACTTCAGCTTTTGCAGGTTAAGGTACTCCTCTTTGATACTTAATAGTGCTTTTTTTTTTTTCTTCATTTCATTTTATTTTATTTTATCATTTCTTCTTCTACTCCTCCGCCTGCTGTTACGGCAAAATAATATTCTTCAAGATCTCTGCAAAATACTGAAACTAAACTATTTATTTGAGGTTAATAAATTATAATAATTCTATAAAATTTATTTATGTAATAATAAACTTTGAATTATTTTATTAAGAATTTTTGGTATTTACGTCTGATTTAATGAAGAAATTTTTTCTAAAATAATCTAATTTTATTAAATAATTTTGTATTGTTAACTTTTAGTTTTGCTTTATTTCTTCTTTTATAGTAAGCTACACCAAATTAAAAATAATAACAAAGTTAATATTATTTTAGCATAAAAATTCAATAGAATAAATTGAAGAAATAATTTTCATCAGACACTAATGACAATGACTAATAATAACTTAATTTTGATTATTATATAAAATTATTAGTTACATTAAAAACTTGAGAGAGCAGTGAATTTTTAAATATTTAATTTAATAACTAATTTTATATTGTTTCAAAATTATTTAAAGAAATTTACATCTTTTTTGTTATAATTTTGATGTATTCTTCATAATTGTTCCAATAAATTTCTTTTTCTGAAATAAAAAAAATTATTAATAAAATGATAATAACTATCAACTTGGTGAACTATAAATAAATAAAATTTTGCTTTATTAAATAATGACTTGTTAAATAGCACTGTACTTTCTTAAATATTGACGTTTTTAAAGATATAAGCTCATTCCGATGTTACATTCATCAAAAGCTTTCATTTGAGTACCCACATGCATTTTGATATATTTTTCATATATACATATATATAATATATATAAATATATTAAAATATATGAAAAATTGATGTGGGTACTCAAATGAAAGATCTCGATGAGTGTAACATCGGGATGAGCTTATATCTTTAAAAATGTCAATAGTTCACGAGATACAAGCTCATTTCTTAATTATGTATCTAGAGGTAGAGAATTTTCAATTGCAGCCTAAATACTTATAATAAATTGATAAGTGAGAATGATATGAAACCATGAAAAGGCACAAATTCAAGCCAAGACCTAACCCGTTTTATCATATGAATACACTGACCACAAAATTTTTCTTATTCTCTTAATAATATAGATCATTTTTAATGACATTAAATAATAAGTAAGGTAAACTGATTAAAAAAATTAAATTTTAACAAAAAACCAATTATCGTAAAATTTTTAATTAAAAAAATATATTTATTAATTTATTAGAGTTAATTTGTTTTTTTTTTTATTTAAAATAAAATTGCAAGTGTCAATAACTAGGCCAGTGTCAATAACTGGGTCTTTTACCTTACATACATTTCGTTAAATAATTGAGACTGATATAATACATTACTATTAATTAAAAACTTAAAACTTTTCTGATTTCTGCTGTTTTTAACATAATTAATTAATTGGTTGCTTAAATTAATTAATATAATATAACAAATATTGAATTATTATCACCAATTTTTTTAATTTCTGATTTTATAAAAAAATATTTAAAACTTCCAAAATAATCTAACTTTATTAAATGATTTTGTATTATTCATTTTTTTAGTTTCACTTCATTTCTTCTTTGATATTAAGCTTCACTAAATTAAAAATATTAACAATGTTAACATTATTTTAATATAAAAATTCAATAGAATAAATTTAAAAAATAATCTTCATAAGATCAGACACTAAAGACATTAACAATAACTTAATTTTGATTATTATATAAATTTATTAATTACATAACAAACTTAAAAAAATAGTAAATTTTTAAATATTTAATTTAATAACTAATTTTATATTATTTCACTCAAAATTATTTAAAGAAATTTTCGATATAATTTTAATGTTTTCTTCATTATTATTCTAATGTCTCTTTTTCTAAAATAATAAAAATTATTAATAAAATAATAATAATACCTTAGTTAATTAATGTGCTAATTAATAATACCGTCGACGCCTGCAGGTCTTCTTCTTTCTCAACTTAAAAAATTTTTTACCATACAATCTCTCAAGGCCTGCAACTTCAGCTTATTCCTCCTTTATCTTAAAGAGCCCATGAGTTATGATGTTAACCATCGAGTATAAACACTAAAAAACAAAATAATTGTACCAAAATAATAAATATAAATAATAATAACAATAATATAATGTTATTTTAAGAGGATACCTTTTTGTCCGGCGTCAGGCGCTGAGAATTGCGCAAAAACAATAATAAAAAACCTCGGTGGTCTGGCTTGTAATCAAACTCGTTAAATTATTTCGTGTAATATAAAGTTTAAATGACGGGCAACAGTTTTGGGCTTTATAAAACCGTTCCGGATCTTTGATGCGATGCTTGCTCTTAACTCCTTAGGTATTTCTTATTCGCTCGCCGATTTATACGAATCTCTGTAAGTAAAACAGTTTCAAGACTTATATACTGATGCTCAAGATCGTAAAGATTTAAAAAAAGTTAATTCGTAGTTTGGATATGGGCTTCGGGCCCACGCGACCATCAACACTTTTATTCCCACGCTTCTTTCTTCATGACCTGTGCATGCAATCTTATTCTGCTTTCTGTTTCTCTTCTGAAGTATCTAGGATAATTAATTTCACCATTCCAGTTTGTACTTGTTCCTTGACTTCTTTATTTCTTCAAATATGTCACGATTTTTATTCAGAAAAAATTTTCTTTTTATTGAATAACATATTTCTTCTTTTAGGTGGAAAAAAAAATTCACCAATAACATGTGACACAATTTAGATATTTATTATTGTCACTGAACAAATTATTGACTTGCGCAGAAGGCGGTTCCAAATGTTCCTAGAGGTGGCGCTAGGGACTAATTCTTCGGAACCAAGTTTCCTTTTTTATTCACAAAACTATCTTTTTATTAAATCACATATTTCTTCTTTTAGGCTGAAAAAAAATTCACCAATAATAAATGACACAATTTATTTATAATTGCCACTGAGCAAATTATTGAATTGCGCAAAAGCACAACTTGGCGGTTC